CACATTCCTGCACATCTTGTCGTCCTCCCCCCGTCTGTCCGGTGAAGACACTACGGGGTTAACGGTGCCTCCTCTTCCTCGTCTTTCCCAGGACGTCTGCCAAGGTTACTGAGCTGAGGGGGGAGAAGGGGGGAGAGCAGCCGACACAAAGGGAGACCGAGGAGGGAGGGAGGGAGAGGCATTCACAATGTATGAGACACCAGAGAGGAGGGAGTCTTAACAGCAGCTGCAGCTCGGAGGCTTTCTGGATGCAGCCTCACATCTCAGCGGATTCCAGTCAGCTGACAGAGGAGGTGAGGAGGGTCCGGGGCGCAGCAGGAAAGGGGGCCGGGCTTCCTCCGCACTGCTCCTCCGCCTGGAAGCACTTTCGCAATGCTAACTTTGCCCGGCGGACTTTGTGCTCAGGCTGCGGCGTCAAGGACTCATTCGTTACGAGGCGGTCGGCGGCGACGGCGGCGGCATGCAGAGCGTCCCGGAGGAGTGGAGGGAGGATGGGAGGACGGGGGAGACGGCGGACGGGACGACGACGAGTAGGAGGAGGGGGGAGCCGGAGGAGAAGGGTGGAGGAGCCGCGGCTGAGGAGACCCTGATGATGGAGCTGAGCAGGCTGGTGCAGAAGACGGTGAAGGAGAGCAGCTGGTGGGAGCGGAGGGGAGTGGACTGCAGCATCCTGGCTGCAGCCTTCGTCGGCCTGCCGCCCGGTGAGACGCAACTTCAGCCAAAGTCCAGAGTTTCACTGATAGACGAGCTTTTATTCAGGACGGAGGTCCAGTCCTGCAGACATGTCTCCATTCATTCATCAGTTAACAACACAGCAGCTGCTTCATGATCACTTTATGTCTGTTGTTGTTGTTGTTGTTTGTCTTTCTGTTGTTAGTTTGTCTCCTTGTGGTCGTTGTCATGTCTTTGTGTGTCTCTTGGTGGTTGTTTTGTGTCTGTTATTGTATGTTGTGGATTTGTTGTTCTTTTGAGCTTGTTTTTATTTAATTTGTTGGTTTTGTGTGTCTCTCTGCAGTCATGTTGTGTCTCTGTGTTCATGTAGTGTGTGTTTGTGGGTGTTTTTTTGTGTACTTTATGGTGTTTTGTGTGTCTTTGCCATCATTTTGAGTCACTTTTGGTCGTTTTGTGTCTCTCTGAGCTTGTTTTTAATGAATTTGTTGGCGTCTCTGTGCTCATTTTGTGT